TAACAACGCAGTCCTCATCAGCTGAAAAAATTCAATGCAATAAAATTTCCAGCAAAACCCAACGTCGAAATAATATTACCTTATACAAATATCAAGATATTGCACTAGTACCACGGGGGAAGGTTTTCCGTCGTTCCCTGTATACTTGTGGCGCGAGATTTTGAATCAGATTGGCCGACCAGGTGCATGAAGGGCGGCAAATCGCAAGTCACAAATGTAGTCCAATCAAACGCATCGATTTGCCATGATTGGGAGAGCTCAAAAGGGAATCACAAAAATATGGGTGTGTCTATTCATGTGGCGCGCAGTGTAGCATCTCGTCAAGTTCATCCTGCAACGAGTGCCCTCTGAAAAGGACCCGAACGTCAACACCACGATAGCTATGGGGCGTCTGCCCCTCTATCCACGATAGGGTGCGATGAATGCATGTCAATTAGTCAATGGCGAGTGGTCGAAGTTGGCTCGATAGAGATGTTACCAACAGGGGACGCGGCTGAAAACCTTGCCTAAAAACTCTTGAATTGCATGAGAATGGCGGAGATGTCGTGCATTCGCGCACCGCTTTTGCGCAGTGACCGTAGCAAGATTGCAAGACGATATATATTGGTTAGGAGCGTTGGCGAGGCTTCGAGTCACATACCACACTTTCCTGCCTAGTTTGCGCAAATCCATCTACGCGGTGTCTTCCATGCCCATCTTGCTCGACTCGGGCACGATGCTCTGATTATTGTGCATTGCGCTGGCACGCTGTCGAACAGAAACCTGCCGCAGCCATTGAATGAAGTCCGAATGTCCAGCTTCCTTGGCTTGCCGCAACAGATTACTTCGCTTCGCTTTGGTTTCTTGCCACAGCGCCCACACGATATCGTCGTTACCTGCCTTTGCAGCTGCATTCATGGCCAAATACGCCAGGAATGGTTTCTCTTTATGGCCATCAAGATGATCCTCGAACAAGAACTTCACAACATTCAAATGTCCGAACTCGGCGGCAAAGACGATCGCATTGGGAGCGAAGCTAGTTTCAGGCCGGTTCTCATGCAACCACTTCACGATATCTAGATGTCCGTTGCCCGCGGCCCATACCATGGCTTCGACAGTGCAGCCTTCAGTGCGATTTTTGTGAAGCCACTGCACGACATGGAGGTGTCCATTCGATGCTGCCAAGTCCATCGCTTGAGCACCACAGCCTTCAGATCGATTAAAATGGAGAAATTCCACAACAGATAGGTGGCCCTCGTGCGCTGCATTGTGCATTGCATTCACGGTACAACCTTCCGATCGATTTTCATGCAACCACCGCACGGTTTCCAGTTGTCCGTACGCTGCAGCACAGTCCATGACGTCGGGCGTCCATCCAAAAGGGCAATTGTTCAAAAAGTGCATGACAGCGACGTGTCCATATGCTGCTGCGAGACACAAGTGGCCGTTGTCAATGCACTTCGCCAGTGACTCGATTAAGTTCAGCGATTCCAAGACGGGAATGAATCCAAACGCAATAGCGTCGGCGAGCACAATTTCTCTCATGTATGGGAGCGAGCGCATTAGCTGCGACAGCCGGTCGACGCCATAAACTTCGTACCAAGCGGAGAGCAAGGCATGCGGCGGGTCCAAGTCGATTGCGGCAGAGCTCGTTCGCAACGAGTACTGCCACACTGGACGAGGTAGAAGTTTGAGTCCGAGGAAGGGGAGCATGTCATGATAATATCCACTTTGGAACTCCCACATTTCGCGGAGGATGTCGATGGAGCGAAAGACGCGAAGAGCCATGTCCACGGTGGCGGTCGTGTCAGACAGATTTCGAGTGTTTGCCAAACCAAAAACGGTGGATGTATCAACACGACTCCTTTTTCCAAATTTCAAGCATTCTGAAAATATTTGTTTCAGCAAATATATCAATATCATTACCTTCCCCTCGTTAACATATGTAGACGCACGAATATGCACAATAGGAGAACCACGCACGAAACAGCAATTTGAATATGAGGTTGTGGTTGGCACACGTGTGTGCACACCTCCGCCGGCAACAATTGTGCTGTGAAAACGTCGACTTACTAATGAGCCAACACCGCAGTGTATGACGTTGGGCTCCTGTTCATAACAACCACTTTGGTGGTCAATTCAGGATTGAGGTGCCATTGCCTGTGGTGTTGGTTCAAGTATTTGCATAACTGAGGCGGTGGCTTCGTGCCCGAAGGAACAACGTGGCGTGGCTCGTGACATGGAGTTTTGCCGAGTGAACAGCGTTTCGACATGCAAACGACAGTTCATGCCATGGAATAGGATGAACAGTTAGTCTGATTTGAGTGTGGGGTCGACGGGAAGAATCGCAGCAGCCACCTTTCGGTCTTCGGCATTGAGGATGTTAAAGGTTGCGCAAGCATTGAACTAGTTCATGCTTAGGCAACGAAATTACGAGCATTGCATGCAGACAGGTGTATTCGTACCGAATCGACGTACTCCACAACAATTCCGTTGAATTTCAGGTACTCGGCAAGTTCGGGCTTGAGTAGTTTGGGAATGCGCTTGCCGCAACCCAGCACGAGGATTTCTAAGTGACCGTCAAATTTTGCTTATGCGTCAGACAATGGGCCTACCGACTGGAGGATTGGCGACAGTGAAAACCGCCAAACTTTCTTTTGTGATCTCATCCATCGTCTGAGGCCTCCACATCTAAAGCAAAGGAACACCGTTGTCATGAATGGGCGATGGAATGTATGGTACCATCGCAATTTCAGGAAAGACCGCAATGGATCCACGCAGGTTCTACACGCCGTTGAAATGAGTCGTAGTTGATACTCTTGCACATGAGCCTCACCACTTCGTTCACAACGAACCCACCGTCGTCGTACTCTGTGATGGCGACCTTTTGGGTATCCGTCATCATTTCCTGGTGAGGGCCCTCGGTTAGACCACAAGGAAGACCTGGATTGCTCTAACGTACCTTATGCATGTCGTGGCCGTAATTGATCCATCGGACACTGCCTGCTCGGCGCGCCACCTGCCCACGTAGCACTCGTTGCAACATGGCACTCGTCCGCTTTCAATTGGATGAAGCTCACTCTGACCAGCCCAACCATCCGGTAAATATATCCGGACACGCGAGTTTCCTCGTTCTTCATGTGCAGTAAAGCAAAACCTTGATTTTCGTAAAAATATCCATATATTACGTAGAGGAAATAATCTTGGTTTCAATGGTCAGAGCAAGACACTCGTACTGAAGCGGTGTGATTTGGCCTGTCAATTCTTACCCAACATCTCGACGTGTGCTGGCCAAGGTCTCCTTTATCATGATACGCTTATCCGTTGGTCAGATTGTAGCGTGAGGTCGGGGTCTGTATTGGGTAGTTTCGAGTTGCTTTATTCGTTCAACGACGGAGTTTAAACCTTCAAGAGGCTTGGGATCTGAGGGTAGGTACAAATGGGTTTTGTTCATGATCTGTCTAGCTGTCGGATTGTTGCTGGGGAAACGAGTAGTCGTCCGTGTCATGTCCAATGTACTGGGGTGAGGGGTCAGAGGACGATCCGTACGCTGGCTGCGTCGCGAGCATGCTTCCAATCTTCTTGAACTTGGACATTTTGAACGGTTCTTTCTCAGGGGGTTGACTAAAGAGCTGCAGCCTCTTGTCTTGGCTGATTGATGCTTTCGTTTCACGAGGTTGGGGAAGTTTCTGCGCAGCATGTACACACAATGACTTCACTGGCCGCTCGAATGAAGTACAACACGTACTCCTTTTATTTTCATGCCAGAGAGGTCAGGGTAGTCGGTTCCGTCCGTTTGAAAGTTGGTATGTTTTGCCTGGATCAGCATTTGAATGTCTTCCGAAGCGCTACAATCGTTCCATTGAAATCCTGCTTTCCATACTCTCATCCAGTTCACATACGCTGTCTTTATGCCGTAAATCACGTCGTTCGTCGGAACGTAACCTGTTTGTTTCTTGGACGGTGCTGCCTTTTCTCGAATATCAGGGTGCTCATTTGCATACTGTCGCACTTCTTTCGCATTGACACACCTACGTCAAAGCAGGTGTCCTTCAGCGACAGGGCTTCTGTCGGCCATGCATATACCCGATCTGCAACGCCCTTCGATTCGTCTCAACAAAGCTGCGCGTGGACTCAACTGCCGGCGATGGGGTAGCCTGTACCCATTTGCCCATGACTTGCCCGGCATCTTCGGGGTCGCGGACAATGGGATACCCGTAGACATGTTCTGCTTCTCGTGAATCTGGCAGGTCGTAGGCGGGCCGCTTGACGTTGCCAACAGTGCTCTTGATCATGGTGCGCCGAAGCGGCAAGTTCTTCGGGCCATTGTGACCAGCAGACTTTGTCATGAGAGGCGGTAGCAGGCGCAGGTCCTTCCGAGGTGGATGAGAACTGCACGACTCCTCCTTTAGTCGACGCTATAAATAGATTTCGTCCGGATAACCACAGTATTTATACATGCCACGAAATCGGCGCCTCTGATTGGGCAATTTGACCGATGCGTATGATTGGCTATTGGGTCGGCCAATCCATTGGTGTATCTAGGGGGAAGTTGGTTGGAGTCAAACCACTCGGCAACTCTCACGCGAATCATGACGAAGAAGGCTGGTGCTGCGCCAAAGAAGACGCCGGTTGCCGCGGCTAAGAAGCTTGCTGCTGCCGCATCCACACACAAGAAGGAAGCTCCTGCTCCAGTGACAAGAAAAGCGGCTGCACCCAAGGAGCCGTCCGCGAAAAGCGCCCCAACGGTTACCAAGGCACTGTCTGCGAAGGAGACACCTACTGCTGCACCCAAGGCAGTGACTGCCGCGAAGAAGGAAGCTGTTTCTCCTGCTTCTAAGAAGGCAAAGAAACCTGCCACTGCTCCTCCTAAGACAGACGTGCCAGCTAAAAAAGCTGCGCCAGCCAAAAAGGTGGCTGCCGTTAAGCAAGAACCCACGAAGAAGGTGACTGCTGTTGCCAAAAAGACAAAGACACCCGCCAAGGCGGAAGTGAAAGAAACTCCCAAGGCAACCGAAGCGACGAAGAAGCCTGCTGTCGAATCCAAAACGACTGAGAAGAAGGAAGCTGCTGAGAAAAAGGTCCCTACAAAGAAGGCTGCCAAAGCCAAAGAAAATGCTGTACCAGCCGCCAAGAAGGGAGGAAAGAAAAACATTGAACAGCAATTAGCCAAGCTCCAGGGCAACGAGTGGGACTCGGACGACGAAGACGTCTCTGTTCGAGCCTCCACCGCTACTTCCAAGAAGGAACCTGAAAAACTGAACTTTGAAGCAAACGTGGATTTTGTCGAATTGACCAAGAAGACCAAGCAAAATCTGGCACAGTCCAAGGGCGCCACTGCAGCGTCCGCGGATGCCACTGCCACCCAGTCGAGCACAATCTTTATTGGTCGCATTCCCCACGGGTTTTACGAAAAGCAGATGCGCGGTTTCTTCAGCCAGTTTGGTGAGATCAAGCGCCTCAAAGTGTCGCGCAACAAAAAGTCGGGCAAGTCCAAACACTATGCTTTCATTGAGTTCGAAGAACCGGACGTGGCCCGTGTCGTTGCCGATACAATGGATGGCTACCGCCTCTTCGACAAGACCTTGAGCTGCAACGTCCTGCCGCTGGACAAGTGCCACGAGCGAATGTTCATCGGGGCGAACCGCACGTTCCGCCCGATTCCGTACCGGAAACTCGCGATCCGGGAACACAACGCTGGCAAGACGTATGAACAGCAAGAAGCGATTAATGCGCGTCTGCTCGCCAAGGAAACGATCAAGCGCAACAAACTCAAGGCCCTCGGCATCGAATACGAATTTGAAGGGTACGCCGGATCCGCCCCTGCCAAGTCGTCGCACGTCAAGTTTTAGCCAACCTAGGAATGAAATAAACTACTTTATGTATATCGTTGTTGTTGATGTAGTGCCGTGCAATTGATCGGGGGCGTGTCCTGGCAGTAGGTACATCAGCACTGTCATCGTCACGGAAACATCGCCTTGATTGACCTGTCCATGCATGAGTTTGGTCAAGTGCGCCATGTCAGACGCATCTGCGTGCTGCTTGCTCCCCACGCGAACGAGTCGGCGGCTGCCATACGTCACATTATCGAAAGATCTTTTTATTACTTAATTGAAAGTCCCGCCATTTACAGTTAACGCATGTTCCACAAGTATGGCAGTCAAGTCGGCGTGCGAGGTAGGAAGCTCAATTGCACCTGTCTTAGTGTAGCAGACTGCGACCGTTGTCATCCTGTTGGGGGCATGTAGTATGAAGAGGATATCCACAAGCTGAAGATGCAACTGCATGACGCGAAGAATGCGCTGTTTCGAGCACAGCAGCAACTCAATCGCCGCCTCACGCATATGCCAGCCGGAGTTCCATCATTCAACCATCACAACTCTCCCACGCACAACTTTGTCGAGGATGATGTTCAATCACAGGTGGTTCATAATGTCCAGCGCATCTAACGCACATCGTAGTTCCAGATGTGCTTTGACGAAATCAAGACCGAGACTGCAGGATCCGCCGCCCATGTACTCAACAAGACGACATGCAGGTTGGAAAGTCTCCAGCGAACTGTCATCGCCTCGCAACGTCATATGTCACATATCCTTTTCCACGACATCCATGACCGCTGTACAAAACGCCACGATTTTCCTTAACTGGTCGTACAAACTATCACGGAATTGCGAATGGAATGCCACGAACTCCGCGAAGCTGCCAAGCAAATGCCATCTCGACGTGAGATCAAGGTACGTGGGACCTCTCCCATGTTGTCATAAGGAAGGAATCGTCCTGGAACCTTTTTGTATGTACTGTAGTTGTACCAATTGCAAATAGAAGCGCTTCAGATGGAGGTCGAGGAGCAGAAAAAGTCCATTAAGCATCGCATAGTGATCCCAGAAAAATCTGGGCCTCGTAACGCAAATCTCACCCAAGATATTCCCGCGATGATGCGCCAGGACAAACTCCTTCGCCAACTGCGCGTTGTCAAAGGAGCGGCTGAAGGCGAAAGCCCATGCATCATGCTTGCCACCGACAACGATTTAAACGAACTCCCGAACGGCCTGCGGCAACGTGCGGGTTATATTTGCATGGATATGGTGGCGGAATTTTGCATTAGCTTCGACGTTGAGAACGTCATGGATCTCCATCGTCATATCAAGCACATACGGCGGCTTTCTCGCAGCATTCCCGCCCTAATCCAGTTTGTCGAGCGCATGGAAACATTGGCGGCGGCTGCTGAGGTAAGTTTTGTATTATCATCTGAATGGTTCATCAACTGCAACGAAGAGCGCGTCCACCGCGATGTCACGTGCCAAGGGCCCAGCTTCCGGGAGCTCACTTGACACAGTACGACTGATTTACTATTGTGGGAGCACTCTAACGCGGGGCTGAAATAGCTGCACGATCGGCTCTCGTTTCTCATTCACGACTACATCGCTCTCCACCATCACTTGGTCCCTCCAGGTCGTACGATCCACTTGGTACTGACCTCGTGCATGCACGTCCTCAATGTCACGCATGTCGATGACATTGCTCCAACAATCGTGGTAAAGTCTCGATCACTTTCCAGCGCACCTTGTTACACTTACGTGAACTCGAAGGATTTAATTGCAGTGACTGCAGCCCATCGCGAGTTTGCGTCGGCCTTGCGCCACCTCCTCGGCCTATCGGACGACGCATCGCGGTCGGATATTCTCGACTTGCTTGGCCATTACTTGAACACGATTGGATTGGGGAGACTGCAATTAACAAAGCAAGAAGAGTGAAATTCAAGGCTAGATTTCATGGACATGATCAACAAGCGTCAAGTACGAATGCCGCTGAAACAGTTCGGATTTCGTATCCAAGGGATCGAGTTTGGGTCGCTTGACGTTGCCATCTACGTGGTTGGCCTCAGAATTCGCGCGTTTTTTGGGCGGCTGACGTGGTGCGAGGGGTTGGTTTGGCATTGCATCGTCTTCACCTGAGCGCTGCGAGGGCACCATCCTTTGGACGACTGGCATGGATGGTATGCAAGTAGGACTGTCTTCAAGAAGAGCATGGGCAAACAGCATGGACATGTCTTCAAGGAGCGGAACTTGAGTGTCTTCTGTGAGTTTCATGTGCTTTGAATACAAGTGAAGCAAAGTAAGGCGTTGCTGCGGAGTCGAACACTGAATCCTCCACACAGCTTCGGATTTGTCCATGACGATGTTGTGATGGCGCATCCAGGGAAACCCAAACAAGTCAAAGTGGCTCATCTTTTGCCGCTGCAGGTGGTACTTACGCCGAAAGCGATTGCACGTATCAACCCACGGCAAACTGTTCTCATTGGGGAAGTGCTTGAACAACCACACGAGAAACAACATCGACACCAACCGTTTCAGTTCGTGGGACGCGTCCCTTCGCAAACGCAGCATGATTTGCGTCGGCGTCGGGCCGTCGATGTGCAACACCCGACAGCAGTAGAATGCCAGCATGGACTTCATCACGGGCGAGCCCTGCCACTCGATACCGAACTGGGCGCCAAAAGCTTTGGTGGCCGTGGTGAAGGAGCACTCCAGCTTGGAGTAATTGGACACGAAAAAGGCGCAAAACCGTAGCCAAAACACAAACGTAAACGAGAAATCCGCGTCCTTAACGTCCCGAACGCAATACGTGCCAGTTGGAACATTGTCGAGGGGATGGACGGTCAGCACTTTGGCCGACACTGTGATGAGGCCCTTGGAGTACCGTTGGAGACGATCCTCGTTTAGCTTGCTGCTCTTGAATTCTGGATGGACCTGGTAGAATTGCGATAGAAGCGCTTGCACGTTGCCCAAGTCAAGTCCTGACGTTCGAAGGAAGCGGACAAACGCAGCTGTCGCACGCATGCGAAAAGATACGAGTGTCTTCATCCTGGCGGCATCGAGTTTGGACGACGCAGACGGGGGCTTTTTGGATGCAGTGGACACGTTGATGGAGGTCGATCGAGCAATAGCAACAGCAATTGTAGCCTTGCACGCTGTAGATTTAGCTATTGTCTCGCTGATTCCGTTGGAAACTTCACTTGCGACTCTTGTGGAGGAATCGAAAGAGACCACGGCAAGTGGCTTTGCAATGACAGGCAGCTTCTTACGCTCGACCAAAAGGTCGTCCGAGTGGCGAAGGCGGTCTTCATTCGCAGTTGTTTCTTCGACACGAAATGCAAGCGAATGCATTGGATTTCTCACAGAGGTGGTATCAGCAGCCATGACTGTGGCTTTCTCGGCGATTTTCATAGCTTGTGTTTTGGGCGAGGGTTTTGTCTCTTCAGCATGCGTAGTGTCTCCAGCTTTGGGCTGACCTTCGCTCGACGCATCTTGTTGAAGGATCTTGGTCACAGGAGGATCCTCCGTCGTGCTCTCTCGACCCATCTTGGGTTTGAAATTTGAAATGGTCATCCAATGATGCCATTGGATAAAATCTGACATTATGTCGCCATTTCATTGGCCAGTCGACCACATCGAAAAGTTGACTTCGTTTGCTTTTCCGTGGACGTTCCCCAAGAGATTCATAGACACAGACAACATGGACGCCTCCATGTCGGCAATTCCGGTGTCATGCACCACCAAACCTGCCAACCCCAAGGTTCATGGAATACTCTTGCTTGGTAACGAGCGTTAGTGAGTCATGTATCCTCGCAGATCTCTCGATCGCACAACATTATACGCAGGTGGAGTTTCTTTTAAAGTGCAGGTCGTGGCATCTCACTCGAGATCGTCGAAGTTTTCCAACGGATGTGCAGCGAAAGACTAGCCGTCAGTATGTTGTCGGCGTTCTTCCGACGTCAAACGTTGGTGGGGCTTGATGGCGCTTGACCAGCCATCACATTTTGCCCAAGTTCTCCTTGCGAGGACAAGATGCGCTGAAGTACGCATGCATCACGACCAAGGACCCGCCGGAATTTGTATTATTGATGGGCTGGCAGAAATATCGAATTTCACAGGTTGAAGCAAATGCCCACTGGTTCACCCAATCATATCGCAGGGTTCATGGATGTGCACAGGCGGTGGATTGCATTCGGAATCCAACCATGTCGTGCGCACCACAGAGCGCCGTGGTGTTCTCGCTGGGCCTGTTGACAGGAACGGGCACGACCTTGTACGTGAGAAGCTTCTCTACGACGAGTCCATGCTTGGACGCTCACCGCCTTGTGTAGGATGTCCAAGGTTATGTACGACATTGACGCAGTTGGCTTGAATGGCGAAACGCGAAAATTTGAGAAGCCCATCTTTCAAACGCTGCTCATGTTTGCCGCAATGATTTTTGCCTTGCCCATTCAGTGGGCATATCATTGGCACCTAGAACGCAAATGGCATGCGAATGGTGGCAAATCCAGCGGATGTACGTTGCACCTCGCGATTGTACTGTGGATTCAGCACCAATTCTCACCGTCACTGGAATAGTCAAACGCCCCGCGCGCATCCCCATTCGAACATATTTTATCTTGGCGCTCCCTGCTGCTTTTGACCTGCTCGGAACGTACTTGGCCAACCTCGGGCTTCTGTATGTGACCGTGAGCGTGTTCCAACTGATGAAGTGCACTGTGATCATCTTTGTCGCGCTGCTGAAGGTTATGGTACTCGGCGAGCATTTGAAAGCGTACATGTGGATTGGCATTGGCTTCAACACGGTGGCCGCCCTCATGGTCGGTTTTTCCAGCTTTCAAGACACGGAGGAACAACTAAACAACAACGACAACCCGGGCATTGGGATTGTCATGATCGTGCTCAGTTGCTTTGTGCAATCGGCACAGTACGTGTTTGAAGAAAAACTGATGGGCGACGGCATAGATACGGCGCCGCCCTTGATCGTTGTTGGGATGGAAGGGTTTTGGGGCTTGCTCATGACATTGCTCCTTGTGTACCCTATCGCGTACTTTGTGCCTGGGAGCGACCTTGGCTCGTACGAGCGCATTGACGACGCATGGTTCATGCTTGCCAACAACCAAACAGCGCAGATTGCCGCCGCGATATTCCTCGTCGTCATCTTGGGCTACAACGTGTTTGCTGTGTTTGTGACGTTTTTGCTCAACTCGATCTGGCATGCCATCTTGGACAACTTCCGCCCCATCACGGTGTGGGCGACCGACTTAAGTTTGTTTTACATCTTCACTCCCAAGACGTTTGGCGAAGCGTGGACCCCATGGAGCTACTTGGAATTGGCCGGCATGTTCACGTTGTTGGTTGGGACCGCCATCTACAACGGCACGCTTCCGCTGCCAGGGCACAAGTACGAAGAAGTGCAGGCCGACCCGGACACCCCCATTCGAACGCCGCTCGCCATGGCGAGTTCGTCGCTGTCGCGCAGCCCGCTCCTCACCCGAAATGCCATCAAGGCCGCGGAAGTCGCTGGGCGAACGCCCAATCCCGCCGATCGCGAACGCGTGCGCAAAGAGTACATGACGGAATACCAAGGACGAGACGAAAAGGAGTCTAACAGCGCTCGCCGACGCCTTGACCCGGCAGGGCACAACTATGGATCCATGGAAACGTAAATAGAAATCGAACATACTTTTGTCCCGTGAAAGTGTATCGAATCGAGGAGAATTGACAAGAACTTGATCTGCCCAACACGATTCCACCTTTTACTCGCTAGGACTTGGTGTCCACCGACTTGATGTTTGATGTTTGTGGAGATGCCTGCCATGTTGATTGATGATCCTGCGCGAGGGGCACACGGGGAGAGGGAAATGCGATCCACACCGCGCTGTCTGCGCCAGACAATCGAAATGTGTTGGTTAGAGGAACGTTAGATTCAGCTCTTTCAACTCGAATGTGAAGGGGTCTCAAGCGGCCCTGGAATCCAACATGATCATCCCAACCAACCTGTATTCCGAAACAAGTTCCTGGCCGTTCTACATCCTGAAGCGAGGGCGGCTTCAGGTTGAAGTTGCCAGCCGTAGGCATGTCGCCGACCAGGTCCTGGTCTTGAGGACACATGGCACGTCTTAGGAAGTTTGTATTATGAAGAACCTCTCCATTGTATCGCGCCGACGCTACATGACGCGCGACGGGAGGCGTTTCGCGGCTGTCCCATTGACCTTGACTGGCCGTGGCGTGTGCTGTCGTTGAAATATGGAACGCCGATCAAAGATATTGCGACCTTCGATTTTCCCCCCCGTTCGTTTCATCAAGTTGTACTTCAAGGCGCCAATTTATTTTATTTGATGGGGCCCCCCACTGCGATTGTTGGCGGGACGCAATTCCATGTCATGGAGCGCAGTAATAAAACGTCCATGTGTCAAGCACGAACTTCGCATGGCTTCACACACAATACCGCTTGCGACACGTGGCGACGCTGCCTCGACGCAGTGTGCAACCAAATCCAAACTCAAGGGGCTGCCCACGCCGGGAGGGTGCCATCATTGGGCCGTCCTATCCGGACGAGAGACCTAGCCGGTCACCACACCTAGTCCCCGTTTGTCTAGACGGCATTCTACCGTGGGCTAGAATGATGGGAGCGGTCGAAATGACGTTTTAGTGCGTTTTAAACTGTCGCTTCCACATCGTGTTGATCCCAAGTGGAAATTCTCGAATCCCGAGGGTATACTGAAACTTCGATAGGTAGAGCACCACCCGATTTCGAGTTCCGATTCGGGCCTGTCCCGTAATACAGTGGGAATTCGCTGATTGGATAGAATTCGTCCTGGAAATTCAGGGAAATCATTTGATTGGAAACATGTTTCACTTCAGTCCAATCACAACGCGCAAGACAATGCAATGCACCTTCGTCACACATTCTGGGGTGTGGCGAAGTTCGCAGTTGCTGCCGCAAGTGTTGAACACCACGTCAAGTTGAAAGTTCCAGCCGCGCGCTGTCCCTGCGACGATGTCGACGAGCATCGCCACGTCGTTGGCCTTCATCCCCAGCGGTTCGACTCGCGCTGCATGCACACGGCCGTCCCTTGCGTTAGAGAATGCATACGACCAACTAAGAATTGTTGCACATATGCCCCCAGAATACCGTAGCGACACGTCGTGCAATTCGAATCTCGGGGGGGGGGGGCCTACCTTGGAGCTCCGCACCAACAATAAAAAGAACGATAGGCACTTAGTATCAGAGACGAAATAATATAAATATTTCTTGGAGGGAGATTTTATATCTAGTTTAAGAGAGACTTGACCCACGCACATACGTTATATCTTGACTACTATGGCAGGGCTCCCATATTTCCATTTCGAACCCGAAGTCACTGCATCAAGCTGCAAGTGACTACCTTCGACAAGAGCGCTCCGCCAAGCTTCCTTGTCACCCCTACGTGTATCGTCCCCTACACGTGCGGATTCTCCTTGTGTTGTACCTACCTGCGTGTGCCTCTCGAGCTCAACAACCGTCGCGTCCACGTTCTTCAGTGACGGTCGCACCCAGTCCCAGAACCATCTCGAAGGAAACGACCGGATTCACCCCACACAAGGCAGGAAATATGATGCTCGGTATGTATGCAGAGGACCCACTGGCGAAGAAACAAAGCCACCACGCACACACGGCGCATGCCCAGGCGGCCAAGAATATGCTTGGTGCAGATTCGGCGATCGCGGACGTGTTGGATGGCGATATGAACTGGTTCACCGACGGCGGCATAATTCGAATGGAGGAGTTTGGGAACGATATCGATTGGGTTCATGAAGAACTCGACCAGTCGTTGCATCTGCAATGCACCCACGGCGACAGCGAAGACTTATTTGCCCGCGAATTTTCACCGTATGCACCTCCTGCAACAGCGATTGCATTAGAGCCGACATCTCACCACCATCCCACAGCTTCAGGTACTTGTTTGTACTTGGATCCTCTGTATGCGATGAAAATGACTTCTGTAGATGGAATCTCTATGGCAAGTGACTTGCGCGCATGTGATGCGACCGAGAAGCTTCTTATGAGTTTTGACACGATGAGCTACACAACGCCGTCACCGGTGTCGTCCCCTCGTCACCGAGAGCGCAATGACGTGTTGGGTGATGATTTGGACGATGAAATGGAAGATGATGAAGACGACGAAGACGATGAGAACGAGATGGATGCTACTTCGGAGGCAATGATGAACACGGCATCGTCGCCAGTTGTATCGGACTTGGAATCGCATATTCACGGCCTGATGTTGATGCCTCCAGTGAAGTCGCTGAGTACGACGTCTCCGTCGAAGCCGTCGGACAAAGTGATCGCGACGTCGGGAACGGGTGTACCCCAAGATAGCAAGTTCAAGAAGCTGTTTGAACCGATTGTGCATCAGCGCACGATTGGTGCGTACACGCCGACCGCACGAAAACTGCGCTTGGAAAAATTTCACGAGAAGCGAAAGAAGCGCATTTGGAAGAAGAGCATCAAGTACGACTGTCGAAAGAAGCTTGCCGACGACCGACCACGCATCAAGGGCCGCTTTGTGCGCGTTTTGGAGAACTTAGGATTGAAATCGGAGGACGAAGCAAAGATGCTGCTACAGCTTGAAGAAGGCGAAGTGGACCCCCAGTCTGTCATGGGATCTGCCTCCGCGACTGTGTCAAGTGCGGCGCCTCTCGTGTCAATTCCCCTCGCCACAACCATGCCTGGTGGCGGCAATGTGGTCCCCACGGCAATTGTGATCGGACCTTCGAGTAGTGAAGTGACGCCGCCTCAAGGAAATAGTCCGCTGGCAGCCGCCGCGACGTCGACATTGAGCCCCACCGTGAACCATTCGATCCACTTCGGCAGCTTTGGGACGTTTCCGTCCCCCGTCGTGATGGTCAAACTCGAACCGTCGACGGCCACTGCGTTTCCTCTCGTCGGCCGCGCCATTATGGGTTGACATGCCGCCACCGCTATTAGTCGTACCATAGGAACAAACAAAAAACACAGACACCACATTGCGTGGGGCATAAGTAACATATACAGACACGGCATCCAACCACCACCTCCTCCATTGACACGACCGACTTGGTTCTATCGCAACTGTATTTCGAGTGCGCGCAATGGCGGCTTCATTTCACGGATCACGCCGGCTAATGCCGTCACAAAACGCTCTGCTTCGTGCTGCAGTGCCCAGTCTGTAGGAAACAATTGGAGAACTGTCGCCGAAATATGCATGGCGTCCTCCATGAAGAGCTGGAGCATGCGGTATCGCCGCTGTGCGCACTTGACACGGAGGCGGGTAACGTCCATGAGCTACACGAGGGGGCATCGTTGTGAGGTTCGGTTTTACATGATGTGGCAAAGCATACCTGGTCAGAATTTGGATCATTCACAAGCATGTTGACAAATGTTCGTCCAAATGGCTCAATGCCGGACGCGCGATGAATTGCTTCGAGGAGCATATCATTGAAGGCGGCGAGAGGCTGAGGACCATCAGGTCTCTCCGGCATCATAGAGGGCAATCGGGCGAGGTCATCAGGTAAAAGTTGTGGGCGGCGATCGGAGGGCCGCATCTGGTGCTCGAAGTGGCGCTGTCGGTCGTGATGTCTCGAGTCCTGTCGAGGGACAGGCATCGCATCCTGAATTGGAAGGGGCTGTCGGATGCCTTGATGGTAGGGAACGAGCCGGTGGCCATTGACATGTCGTGGAGGCGGATTGCAGCATAACCATACGTCATCATTCGGGACTTTTCGACGGCCGCAGTCCGGTGGAGGTCTGTCTCTATCACATTGCCGAGGTGGAAGCTGCGGACGCGACTGGGGGGTGAACTGTTGTGGCAGCCGTTCGCGGCGAAGGGGGGTACTACCAGGCACGGCACCTGCCATGGAAGGCAATGAACGATTCCAGTTCGTGTTGTGGAGACGCGCAGAGTCCCATAAAGCGGAATCGATACTAGCACGCCGCGGCTCAGACACGTGCGACATGGATTGAGTATGCCGCAGCTGTGTATGGTGCTGTTGATGATGCTGAGGGGTGACTGGAGTTGCGACAGCCGAAGTGTGGGAGGACGACGGCCGATCGCGAAACAGGATAGGAGCCACCTTGGGCCACGACGATTCTGGTTCAGCATGCTGCCATCGAACGTCCGGGGCACATTGCCGCACTACTTGGTGCGGCAGGGACGGAGTTGAGGGTGCAGAAGGAACATGATAGCGGCGTTGGACATGATGTGGCAGCTGAAAGGATGGACGGGACACATCGTCGTATGATTCGGTCAAGTCGAGGACATCTACTGGGCGATGTGGACATGGCACGCGAGGAGCCAACGAAGAAGCATGACGTGCATAAACTCTTGGGAGCGGCGGCATTTTGGGAAGAGACTCGATACGAGCATACTTATGAGGAGGTTCTGGCGAAGTCGACATGACCGGGGAAGCAATCTTTCGTCGCCGGACGGGCTGTCGGGGGGGGTTCGTGTCGGTGAGTGTGGAAGCCGAGAGTGATACAGGTTTGGTGGAAGGGTTGACTTCGTTGCATTTACTGGGGGTCACTGAGAGGTGTTGAGGCGGCGATGGTTGCGATTCTGACGGCTCGTTCTGTGTATCAGGATTGACTGGGGAGGCAGGATGCAGGAGCGGCAGCAGGACGTCCTGCGTCAGATCTTCTGAGTCGCCATCGTCGTACAACACGTGAAATTGTTCACCATATTCGAGAGATTCCCAACGACTTGTGACCTTGCCATCGAACCAGCCAAATCCGTCAAAGAACTTGCGGAGTCTCCTTCCCAACAAGTCGCTCGGGATTGAAGTTGGGGAGCCTGCCTTGCTTGGCATTGATGTACTGTCTTCTGGTTTTGTGTCAACGGTAAGCTCTGAAGTTTTTGCTTCGGTAGCTCCTTCGGCGGCACGTGGATTCCCCGTCGACGGCCTTTCGGTCGTCGTGGTAACTGGGGAGTTTGCACAAGGCCCTTCAAGTGATGAGGAGCTATATTTCCCGTACGACTTGGGCACAAAGTCTTCCACCTTCATCTCCACCCCTCCAGGTGCAACGTGAAGTGGAAGCACCGATCTTGACATACGTTTTTGGTGGACCCTGTTGGCGGCATCGACCAAGTTATGACGGATGGGGGACTCCTCTTGAGCATACATGCGCATCGTGCTTCGATGTTCCATGGACGGACAGAGACTGCGCAGCTGTCGGCGCGACTACGCGATGGATTCCCTCCCACGGGTCGGACTTCGCCGCCTAGCACAATATGAACGTGGTACCCAAAGTTTAGGTCTCCGCATAATCCTACGGATAATTCCGGAGGAATTCCGTAGGTAGGTTGAACTCAAAAACACAAACACGCTCAAACTATGCATCATGTGATGCATCAGAAATCTCCATTATCCGGTGTTTTCATACAAAAGATAGAGTCGACGAAAACAGGTTCACAGCTGGCCGGATAAAAATTTGAACTTTTCCGTCGTGGTGTTCCAACCTGCTAGAAAACCTCTCTTGCAGTTTCAATGCAATTTGTATGCGTTCGTGGGTGTCCAGTTTGTAATGGCCGCACTATTGCCACTTTAGGATTCTGTCCAATGCGCGGCTGCAACGTCGCATGCTTCTGGTGCAGCCTTCGACCGGCTTGAGAAGCGCGACATGAACAATCGACGAAATAGAGGGCAGATACCTCCTCACAGTCGCGACCTGAGCTGCTGTCGTTCAGCCGTTGTCGATGCAAGTCGATCAAGCCCCACGACGTCCGTCAAAAGTGGTAACGGCCACCGTTACAAATGGACAGTTGAGATGTGTGAAATACGATCCGGTGTCAAGCGTGTGCTACGTTGATATTCGCCGCTTGAAAATGGCATGCACCTCAACGGCAAGGTCGTCGACCGCAGCTTGAGCGGCAGGGACGAGGTCGGGGTAGATGAGGAAGCCGTGGGTAAGACCCGTGACGACTTTCAGCGACGCTTCGACTTGGAGGTTGTTGAGACGGGTGTAAAAGTCCACACTGTCGTCCAGGAGCGGATCCATGTCGCCGACGAGGAGGGCTGTCGGGGGGAAGTGCCGAAGTAAGCTGTCGTCGGCCAGACCCACGGCGACAAGTGGGTCGTACGTATTGTTCTTGTAGTGATCGCCGTTGAGCGGGTAATACGAGTTCAGTGCCAATTCCAAGATTCCTCTAGGTAGCACGGGGTCGCTTTGGTGGAGAAATCGAGACGGCGACGGCGAAAAGTTGCAAGTGAGCGCGGGATGGACCAGCACCAGGCCATCGGGCAGTGCAATCCTTTCCTGGACAGCCTTTAGGCACACAGCTGCCGCGAGGTTCCCGCCTGTGTGCCATGTGCAGTTGTGAAGGTCTCAACAAGTTGATACGATGCACGTCACCAGCACTCTCGCCAAACATGGCAATCGAGGACGGATGGAAGCCGAGTCCGCCTTGTAACAGCCACTTGTACACTGTGAAGCACTGGTTCAGGGGCACGGGGTACTGGGCTTCTGGAGTTCGTGTGTAGTCGACATACACGATGACGGCACCCAACTCCACGGCCCACGCACTCAGGTTGACTATATCTTTGGCCCAAAACCGCCCGAAGAAGCCACCACCGTGGATGTAAATCAACACGGGAGTCGCTGTCGGCATGCCAATGCCCTTCATTTTGTCTGAGCATCGCACCGACGCATGTGCCCACGACCCTTGCTTGACGCTTGCAATTGGCCGACAGCTGAAAATGCGCACGCCAATGTCAGTGGGCTGCCGTCGATAGGATCCCGCAGACCGTCCAGACTCGTCCACGAAGATTTCCGTGCGAACGGGGAGCGACGGCGACTGGAGTTCGGCCACTCTGATCGCGAGCCACGACTCTCCAAAGAAATTCCATGCCATTCGAATGACAGAAATATCGGGTTTGTCCATGCATACACGGGTCGCAAGCGCTGATGCTTTGTGGTGACGGACGATGTAGTACGGAAGCAACAACCCGAGGAGGTAAGGACCGAGGGTGGGGAACCACGATGGCCCCAACAGCCAATGCGCCGTCGCACTGGACGCACACATGGCATGCCCACCCGCCTTGAAGAGTTTCATGCCCACGGGCTCATGAGATGTGTCGTAGTACTCAGCCGGAAGAGGCACTCGTTCAACCAGGAGCGACGTGGCGGACTTGAGGTTTTCGTTGATGTCGGCTTCGACAGGCGAGTCAATAAGGAGTCGCCGCGACGCCGAACGAGCGAGGCGAGTGCGATCCAACACGTGTTCACAGAGGAGAAAGAGCCGCAGCGTCAGCGACACCCGAGCGTGATGCACTTTGATCTTGCGGAGTTTGGAAAATCTAAAGGCTCGTCTGAGGATATGATCGGGTAGACGAGAAACGAGGATACCGATACGAAAAGCGCCAGAGGTAGTCGTAGCAGACCAACACGAAAATCGAGTACTGGATCTGCTTGATGGACGGACGAAAGAGACTAAAGATTGCTCGGATTGACAAGTGTTTGGCGTATCGCTTGTGTGCCACAAACACAGCAAGGGCCAAGAGCGTAAACGGTGTAAAGGACCACCGATTTTCCCAGAACGGGTCGTAGTTTTGAGAGAGGCTGAGCAGCACTTGCTTGGTGTCTGTCATCGACACAATGACTTGACGAAGCAAGGATGCGACACCGCCGGCAAGAATCGTGTGCCGACGCTCCGTCGGAATCAATGGAATGATGTCTTTCAGTGCTTGCTTGTTGCGGTAGTCGATTTGCGGATCTCGAATGATCTCGTCTTTGATGAAGCTGAACAAGACACGCTCAAAACAACCCACCGTCAACGAGAGATGTCGCAATTCGCGGCCGACGCGGCTATACGTGTGATCCTTGATGATGCGGCGAAGGATCTACACAAAGAGCACCCCGAACGGTGTGTTGTATCTTGATATTGCGACTTTTTCAATGACGTACCTGAATCGTTGACAAGATGGCAGTGGACGTTTGCACGAGAAGTTCAACGTCGTCTCCATGCCCCGTGACGGAAGTTGAGCCTGCTGCATTGTGGAGCGTCGTGTCTGTCTGCACAATCTGCCCCATCAAGAGCACTGTGCTCTTGGACTTGCTCATGGAGTTCGGCTCACCGTTCGCAGGCATCGCACCGCTGACGCTCCTGGTCACGTTGAAGAATTGCAAATCTTCCACAATTGGATCCACCAACATGCGATTCGTCAACGCCACATTGATCGCACCTAAAGAACTCACTCAATAAAGTGCGATTTTTCTCTTCCGCTTCGCCATGTTGCAGAATCGCAACCACAATGGCAGTCGATCTCCTCGCCACAGGACCCATTCCCGCGCAACAACTGTGGCTTATGTGCACCTTCATCTGCCTTTTCTGAACCTGTAGCCACACGCAAGACAATAACGCCACCAAGGGCCGCAACTGAATGCATCGCGCTGGGTGCAGAGTTGACATGCCTGCCATGGGTGCACTTGGTAGCACATCGCTCTCGTATTGAAGCCACACCAAGGTCGCTCAGGCTCACGAAATGTCTCCAGAACATTGGTGGGGTGTACTTTGAGCACCTCTGCATCGCTATACAGGGTCAACAGCGCGATTGACGGGAGCTGTGCCAACAGTATTGAGATGTCAGTTGTCGCACTACTGTAACCAAACACAAGTTGGCAAGACTGCCAAAGACGGTAGCTATTTCTTGGATTTACCTCCCTTCTTCTTGCCTTGGGCTGAACTCGGCTTCTTGTCCTCCAAATCCCATTCTTCAATCAACCGACGGGCAGCTTCGGCCGCTGCAACCGCTGCACTAGCTTCTTTCGTCGAGGCCTCAAAGATTGCGATCTTCTTTGTGATGTATGTGGCTAAATCGTTGGGAATGGGAAACGAAAGATGGTACTGGGCCACGAGCCATGTCTGCGTGTCGCTGCTAAAGACGAGGGTTCCTGACCCTCGCGACGTCGCCACGAATTGCTCGCTCTCAACCAGCTCGTCAAACACACAAAACAACGGGTTCCTTTCGTCGGGGTAATACGTCAACTTTCGTGACCCTGATATCGGTCGAAACACCCACCCGTGACCAGCCTTGAAATGCGGCAAGCTCCAGTCGAAGAAGTCGTTGACGTGCCAATTCTCCGTCGCGTCAGTGCCGAGAAATCGGCCTTCACGGTGAAAGCACCCAAAGTAAAGCTGAAGGCTTGCTTCAGCGGCACCCTGGTGGAACGCGTCCAAGAGCGCGTCGACGGTGGTGTACGTGCCCTTGCCGATGCATGCTTGCTTGGACATGCTTCCAACCGAATGAATTGATGGATGACATGGCGAAAACGTATCATGTAGAATTGCCAGTCAAAGTTGACGTTTATGCCTGTTTGCATTTTCTACCCAATCAAACCTTGAGGATTTCAATAAATTTCGCTGAAAAGGTTCACATTTCAATCAAATAATCGTGACCAAATGTCGGCTGAATGTGCAACGCCAGGGATTGGTGCATAGTGTGGTGACTTAGCGTCTTCGACAATGACGAAGGAAGGGACGACTGACATGACGGCGATCTCTGTCGGAACCATCGCGGCGGTGCTACTGGTCTTTTTCATTCTCCGCTCCAAAAGTACCTCTGCCTTAAACAACATCAAGGAGCCCGCACCAAAGCCCGAGTACTTGTCTCGCGAACTGAAAAAGTACACTCGCGCCGAGGTTGCCAAGCACAATTCCGAGAAGGACGCGTGGATCATCGTGAAGAACAAGGTGTATGACATCTCCGAGTATGTGGAAGATCATCCGGGTGGACTGGCCATCCTGAACGATGTCGGTGACGATGCGACGGTGGTAAGTGGATGATCCAATTTGTTGGCGAAGTGAGCAAGTGACAATCCTAACGCACGGGTAGGGCTTTTACGGCCCTCAGCATCCCCCGACAGTCGCGGAACACATCGAAGAGTACCGCATCGGAGATCTCGTGGATTAGACGCTGCTGGTCATACGCTGAAACTGCTCAAGTGGGCGAAGCTGAAGCCGTGAACTTGAATCATCTTTCCCTGTTTGAGGCAGCGAAAACGCACTTCGAGCTGTTCTTTTCGTGAGCGCAATGGTGGTTTCAATAGACTAGTGTGTTGTCTCGTTCGTATCGTGTCCCGGTGATGGAGTGTGCGTGCGACCAACCCATGACAGCACGGTCGCACGTCTTCTCATAGCCACCTCCGTGCGACGACTCTCTCGATGGCCATGCATAGCATCCGACATCCATGTCGTGCCCTTAACTCTAAATGCATTCGTCCTGAAGAACAACACCATGACGGCTGTGATCTCTCGCATGATGCACAGAGTACAACACTTGCCTTCATGTACTTGTTTATGAAGCTTTCTCCAGTGCGTTTTCCATGTGCACTACATCAGCGCCGGGTATGCAAATGATGGAGCGCTCGGACGAATACGCATGATTCACGCTTCTCGATGGCGCCGTTGCGGTTGACTTTGGCACTTTTTTTTCGTTCCGTTTTTGGACTTTTTTTGACGGTCGGGCCACGCAATCTGATTGGGCGGACAGCGCGATGGCGTATGGCGGCGTCGGATGGGCCTCGACGGATGGAAGGCTGTGGTGGCCAGTATACCTGTGCGACCCGCATATGCTGGCAGACGAGTTGCATATATTAGGTGACGAGCATGGCCACGTGGTCAACGGCCTCACTTGTGCGCGTAGGCAAGACCCACCACCGTGCAGTCCAAGCGCACAAGAAGAAGCACACTCCTGTGGTGTACTACCTTGGAACCTATGAGTTGTATGGGATTGTGCGTTCTTGGCGCAGCCATGTGTATGATGAAAATGCTGTCGTAGCGAGGCGGGCAAGGCACAAATTAAGGAATGGTTCTGCCCAGAGTTCGACCACTTCGCACAAGAACCATCGTTGCCAGAGCGAGCACGAGATGACTGGTGTCGCGCTCTCGCAGAAGCTCAGGTGCGATGAGTACCTCGCGCATGCATTGTACTGATTGAGATCATCTTAGAGAATTCGAGTCAATGGCGTGGTGCCATACCTGCTGCCCTCCGACTTAAATAAGCGGCTGTCGCAACCGCGTCGAACATGCCCTGCGACAGAGGGGTCAATTATTTGGATTTATACCCGAGGATTTCCGTGGAGACCATGCTTCGTCCTCGATCCCATGTGCTTGACCTTTACCGGAGGTGCATGCCATGTGTTCATACATCCGCCATTTGACCGAAATCCCAACCAGGCCACGAACACTTTCATCAATTTGTGCGGCTCGCTCAAAAGGAACCCGACACGTACATGCTGCTGTATTTCTTTGGCAACGACAAAGTGTACGCAGGTGACCTGTACAAGTCGTTCTTAACAGCGGTTGTATATCCAGGCAACTACGCAACAGAAGTCGAGCGGAAATGAAAGCGTGGGAATGCCCTGAGCACGATGGGTTTCTTCGAGGCATTCCGCGAACTGCACAGAGCCGCGGCGAATTACTTGTAGCTGTTCAATCTGCAAAGGTACATGCGGACCATTCCAACTTGCCCTGACATTGGTACATGAACTCCAGCAATTTTTGCAAGCGGGGTGTGACCTCAACACCCTTGTTCTTCCAGGGATCACTATCCATCGACAACCGCTGCCAAGACCCCCGTGTCCTCCCCTTACTTCCGACGGTAGCGTGTACAGAGGGCTCAAGCATCTATTGTGAATGTGGTGCATCTAGTGGTTCCCCCCAGTCCCCTGTCTAAGAAACCAAAAACCAGCAAGTCATTGCAACGTCAACAAAGCGCGCTCGATGCCATGACTCTCGTAACCAAGTCAAGCCCTTCTCCACGCTCCTCCAACGGCATCATGAAGATACTTACTTACCCTTGCGGTATGGCGTGGGCCAAGTTACCAACGATGTGGACCCCAATCATCATGTGCCAGCCCGACGAATGGCGCGACGAACGAGGTGCAGTATGATCCAGTCTGAGTCGGTCGCCTCACAGCACTTCTATGTGTGGCAGCACGGGGACACGGGAAACGATACAATGACGATGCGTATTTTTTTGCAACCCGCTCCATGTACGTATTGGTGCGTCGCTCGCGCAGGAGGATGAAATGGGAGTTGCGGTAGTCGTAAATGGCGAGGCCGTGTAAAGCCGTGGAGGACGCCCAAGAATGGAGCATTCGCCGCAGTGTTGACAAATGTCGGGTTGCATGACGTTTACGTCGAGGCAATGGTTCGAATTTATTGCGACGCTGACGTCTCTTATCGTATAAATACTTGATTTATAGGAGTATTTCGCCCAGTACGAAAAACTAGAGGTAAAAATCCGGTGGAACCCAGTGGAATGACGTGGTCGATAGCGAGTTTTAGCCGTGCATCAATCGATTCGGGCGTTGTGCCCGACTTGACCAACTTCTTCGCAATTCACATGGGTGCACCTGTCCAGACACACAACTTTCGAACTCAGGACCCCCCAGATATCTGCCATGTCATGCTTTTTCTTGGCACTTTTGATCACAGGAATTGTCGTAAATCGTCTTTTATTCAAGTACACACTGCGCTGCGGGAACGATTCGGTCGAGTGCACAAAGTCAACCCAAGACCGTATTTCATTATTCCATTCTTGAAAGCACCTTCTCATGCACTCGATCCCGTTCGTCGGTGATGTGCCTAGCCCAATGCATTTGACGTCAGTTACGGAGCGATATTGTCGCAGACGAACATCACTATACATCCCTGAGCTGTTGTATGCCTGTGTTCCGATTGGGAGTGTTCTTGCCGTCGAATGGTGGACTCCAATCTATTTTTTGTGTCCGTGATCAGTTCACACTTGGCAATGCATTCGGTATTCCTGTGCGACACTGTCCTGGTGGAGCGAAGGGCCCTGGTGACTGCCGATTCTTTACTATCCCGATAATATCGCAGGGAGTTGCACATTGTATAGGTACGGATACACCCAGAGCATGGAGCTTTAATTCGAGTGTGTCCGCACCAAACGATGTTTTCGATGACTGGTGTCGAGATTTAGCCGAAGCTAACGTAAGGACCGTTGCGTACAAGTCACCCCATTCCCATGTAGGGCAAGCCCAGAGGGATCCTCCACGAATTACCTCTTCTGTGGCTTTGGTGACGCTCTGATGTACAGGACAGTGGGTGCTTTCATACGGTTGACATTATTATCTTGTGCGCTTTGTAAGTCATTTGGCGCCAAATTTTGTGATTTCGTAAGAGCATGGATAATTCGTGCTTAAGATTTTATACCCAATAAATTCTTCACGTCCAGTATTGCGTCCATTGCATGCTGCACAAGTTCAATAGCGCTCTCAATACCATGGCCTGGTAGTGTTCAACTTTCTCCACATGATGGGGAGATCTTTGGACAAAATGGTAGATTGTCGCATGAATACTTTTGACACCCATTGTACGTTATCCCCATTGGCCCCTCCCTTGACGTCGTCACTTGCACCAGAAAACTATTCACTAGTGCTAAAGCAGCGATCAAACCATGGGGATGATCAGGTCGTGGAGTTCCCCGCATTCCGAATTGGCTCGTTCTCATGGCTGCAGCGGTGGACCAGGTGGTAAGGACTACCTTCTCCCCGTTCCTACCAAACACTTGTTTGGTTGAAAGCATTTATCACGACAGGGCGCAATGTGGCCAACATCATCTCCATACTGACATGAACATCAATCTAAACAATGCATATCCCTGACCTCCGTGCGTGGAGGTGACTACATCGCATCCATCCCTGCTTGTCACCGCGATGTCGCAGCAACAAACATCCCCCCCCGGTTGAGTGCGACCCAAGATTTTAGCTACCCGTTACGCTAAGGCCCAGATTCCACAAGGAAAGAGCAAAGGGATCAAGCAGGACCAGGATACTCCGATTGTGCGTTGGGATTGCAAGCCTTGATAGACGACGTCGAGGTGAAGTTGACATGGCGTGGAAAATCTCACTGCATATGTACAGGATTACATCACCATCTTTCGAATTAACTGGAGATGCTGATGCGTGGGCTGGTGCGAAGTGGGTCAGGGGCGCCAACGTTGGGCTGTCGACCGAGTCTGCCGTGGACAGTCAAATCCGAGAGCTTTGCCACCCACAAGACGACAACGCCAACGTGAATTCAAGCATGAAAACGGTGCGTTAGACTTGTAGGCGCTTGATCAATGCACCAAACTCCACAATTTGCCTGGCCAGGCGGGGACAAAGCGAGGAATGATAAATATTACCATGCCCATGCCGTCTTTCCAACTATTGAGTTTTTGTTCAGCGCAGGGGGGCCTTGCTTTTGAAATCACATATCCAATTTTCATCCCCACAGCGCTTTACTACATCTTAGGGGTCGGTGGCATGCAGAACTTTGCGACCCGCGCGATTTGATTCTCAAGCGTTGTATAGGCCTACACAGCTCTCGACGTTATAAATTCCATACCGACGAAGTATTTGCCAACGTACGGAAATCTTGCAAAACTCGGCGTAAAAGTCCTAAGCAGCAAACGCGCGACGTGCAACATGGTGTTCGACTACCACGTCGATTGATTGTACCTCGGCTTCAGCCACTGCAGCGCCGAACGTGTCTTGGTCCAGCGCGGTCTTCTGGCACATTGCTGTGCGGCTGGTTTGGTGAATTGCTGGTGCGTCGAGGCTCTTCCATGGGAGCATGGCGCTCAATTCAAACTGATGGGACCTACTGGCATGCATCAGATATCAATGGTCGTCGACCGCCGCCTATCACACCTCATCGTGTGGTAGCCAAACGAGTAAACGTCGCAGGTTAACTTGGGAGTGACCGACACTATTCAGTACATTATTCGATAGTGCACTTAAAGGTGGACGAACCGCACCGGGACCCCACAAGATTGGATTGCAAATGTACACTGGCCACCAGAGCTGGCCATGCACGTGTGCCCAGGCAACGCCGTTCTGGATGTACGTGGGCTTGGGCACCACGATTGGCTCAAACAAAGCAGTTGGTTCTGTCACCGATAAAAGATGTTGTGACTGCGGTGAGTTTCCTTCGGCAGCGTGAGTTTTCTTCCCTCGTAGTGCTTCTACGAAATAAACCGTCAGCCTGCTGCGCCATTTTTCCACTACAATCGTTTGAGCATCCACAGTATCGAACATACCATCAATGCGTATGCGCTTCGTGGCACTTGGGTTGAAGTAATTTCTTGTCGATTCGGGAATCATGCGTGCAGCACGATGTGGAGCAGCTGATTATGATTTTGTCACGATCCTCCAACCTATCCTAGCTTGTCCTACCTGGAGGTACGGGCGGTTTAATATCGTGCTGCATGTCTTCGCTGGGATTGTCACTCACAGCGCCGTCTTCTTCCGAGTTTTCGTCGTCGTGCGAAACAGCACTGTCCTTTGGTGTCACCGACCGAATTCCCGAGACATTGACCGTGAAATCGCTGTGGATGACGAGTTTCTTTTGGTTTTGCTTCGTTGCCAAGAACCCCTGCAGCATCCCATTAACCAAGATACGTGAAAATGGCATTAAACACGTACGTCGAGTCGTTGAAGGGCGATTTCCAGGTATTTCAATCCTCGTGATCCTTTCGGGACTCCCAGTAGCAGCTTGCTATGATCAGGGCATTTCCAAGGCAACATGCGAGCGTTGCCTCGCTTCCAGATTATTCTATGCGAATGGGCCAAGTTAGATCGAATGGACGCGACATGCACAGGATGTACTGTACAAGCGGCAGTCCCCAAATTGATACACCAAGTAATAGTTGCGAGGATTTCTCTGGGCGCGGGCAAGCTGCTCCTTGTTGTGTTTTGCTGCTCCGCCGTCAAACATTCGAAAACGATCAACACGTCAGCCTGGCAATTGTAGAACGTACACGAGGATTTCGCACTCAGATGGTTCGGATCGAAAAGGTAGGCTGGTGCCCATGGCTTGATTCCGTGACTGAGCCACACGAGTGACCCTGCGGCGATATCGGTAGGCCACTTTGGAGAAGGTTTGCGATTGTCCAGGTCAGATGGAGTCAAGAATGGCAGTGTTCCTTCTTCGAGAAAGACCTACGCTTACTGCATGAACATCCTCATATCCCAATGCTTTCACCACCTTCGCTTCTGCCATGGCTGCGTTGAATTGTGCAAGCGTGTTGGCATCACCCACATTAGCAAGTTCGTGGCAAAACTTGTCGTGCTCAGGGCACCGCCATTGTTTCACGTCACTTTTCGCACCAGACGCACTACTTGACCAGTTAGAACAGACACTACAGGAAGCTCTACATACAATTTGTAGGCGCCCAGGTGGTACAATAGGCGCGAATTGCATCTTCCTTCCAACTCCAAGGCTGGCTGATGCTCGTTGTCTACTCCCATCATCATGGTAAGCTCACACACACTACTGGCTGGCAGCACGTACTCAAGTAGTGCAGATTGTCGCGTCGAAAGTGCTCTATGCTGCACACATACACAGGCCACCACATTGTGTCCCTCCTAGCCCATCCCAGGCATGCAACATCTTCCATTTGTGATGATAACGCCATCACGGGCAAACAGGAATGGTGGAGTTTATTCGGATGGAACATCCGTACCCGAATACGTAGTACTACTAGTATATCGCAGGAG